GAACAGCAGGGTATAACCGATGCTTTGTCCCCGATTACAGCACTATTGCTAAGCCCGTGACTGACCTGACTAAGAAGAACTTACCTAAGCAGGTCCTGTGGTCTCCAGCTTGTGAAGCCGCGTTTCAGGCACTGAAGCAAGCTCTTGTGAATGCCCCTGTCCTGGCTGCCACAGTCCCTAACAAACATTTTCTTATTCATACAGATGCTTCCATGCATGGACTGGGGCTGTGCTGAGCCAGGTCGGGGAAGATGGAGGCGAGCACCCTGTCGCATACCTCAGTAGAAAGCTACTACCCCGGGAAGTTAGTTATGTGGCAGTGGAGAAGGAGTGTTTGGCCTTGGTCTGGGCCTTAAAGAAATTGAGCCCATATTTTTACGGACAGGAGTTCTCTTTTATCACGGACCACAATCCCCTTGTCTGGCTTAACCGGGTCTCAGGAGACAATGGTAGACTGCTGCGGTGGAGTTTAGCTTTACAACCGTATAACTTCATCATCAGCTACCGACCCGGTAAGCAGAACGGGAATGCTGATGGATTGTCCCGGCAAACCGACGTCCCTATTACTTCCTAGTCCGGTCATCCCCAAGTTGACCCGCCACAGGGTCAAGCCGGGTCTGCCGGAGTGTCCCACAAGGGGGGAGCCGTGTGACAGATCCATCTGTATAGACTGGGATTGCTGGTTCGTCTGTTTTGCCTCTTTTCGTGGAATTACCTGTCCGTATGCCCCTGTTCGTTTATTTGACTTTCCTGCCAAACAAAACTACCGAACGGAGGGCCACCCAGAAGAGAAGTGTGCTGCTGGTTAACCTCTTAATCCCAATTACAACGTTGTGGTTAACCGCAGACACCTTTCAATTAAACCGAATACAGGGTGGTCGTCGTTCGTATGTCGACCACGAGGCGGCGGCCATTTTAAAACAGGCGAAAGACCAGCGGTGTTCAGCACAGATTCTATGGAACTGAAAACGGACACTTTTTCCGCCGAACACCGCTAAAGCCACCGACCTCCCTTCTTGATCGACAAAAGCATATGAACACTGGCCGTTCGGGAGTTTGAACTGCACGAATGGACTTAACCCAGATAGCCTTCCCATGGAGTCAATCGCATACTGAAAGACTGTAATAGACTTTGACTCCATGGCGATTGAACTGTGTGTATGGGATCTGAGCGCTATTCGCCAATAATATGCACTCAGATCCAGGCTATCTGGGGATATGTTACACGAATGAGAAATGTTCGGCAATTGTAAAGTTATATATTTTTATGTGTTTTTTGGGTTGTATCTAAAATGGCGATTTGCCTCTGTCCTGGGAGATAATTGAATTACTTCTCAATTATCTCCAGGGCAGAGGGGAGGAAACCATGATGCATGCTGGAAATATTACGTGCCTGTGTGTCCTGAAATCCTGTATGTCCATCTGCCGTTACAGTCTCCCATTTGGTCCCCTAAGGGAGTGTCCACCAAGTGGGAGACCTGCATAAATACGGGCGGGTAGCCCACAGTAAACCCAGTTCATGTTTTACCCTCAATGCGGAGCTTGGTCTCGTTATTGGAGGGGAATTTACTACACGAATAGCGACGGCCGGACGGAATTATTAGCCGCTTGGGAGATATATGGTTTCGGCTGTTAGCGGCGATTTGTGAGTTTGCTGATCGGGAAGTGAAGTACCCATACGGGTCCCGTTCGGGAGATTGGAGTATTCCCCTGCTTGCAGTTTGTATGATTGGAGTTGGTACGAATGCAGCTTGTGTTATGGTGAGAGGGGAGGATTAACTAAACAGCGGTTTTACTATTTGATGCCGAGGGTGCCGTTACATTACTTTTAAAGGGGCAAATTCTCTGCATGTCACTAGTTCATAGGACCAATAGGGAACTATGGGTGTGTCTTCTCTACAGACTATCATCTAGATTTTGGTCAGTAGATGGCGCAATTACATAACAGAAAATTCTTGTCAGGGGGCCCATTTACCTTTTTGTATAATGGGTTAACTGAATTTGGTGATGCATTTGACGTAATGTTGTTATCTCTTATAGCTACTACATATCAAAAAAAACTTTCAACTTCAAAGCGTTTTCCCAGTCTGGGTGTCTGCAATTTTGGTCGAAAAATTTGATTTGACACCTCCTAACCTTAATTTCACCCTTTCTCTTACAATGGAACAAGTAATGTTCCGTTAATTTTTTTAAATTTTTTTTTTTAGAAAGTAAAATTAATTACTTAGTGTTATTTGGTGTCTGTCTGGTTTTCTTGTCTTGTTTACATAAGTCGCATTCCTTAGCTCAGACTTGAATGAATAGATTGTGATAGAGAAATCTTGTGTCTGTCTTAGCCTTGTAATACAAAATGAAGTCACCTCTGTTCTGAGTTTGACTGACAGTATACACTTTTAATTTCTATCTTAACGCAAAAATGTCTGCCGATATAAATATGCTGACAAGAGTAGGTTTCCTCCAAGAGATACTATTGGATCAGGGTACCCAATTTACAGCCGAGGTCACCCAACAGCTTTGGAAGCTTAGCAGCATTAAGCCCCTACAGAACTCCTACTACCACCTCCTAATTCAATGGTTTCTGTGAGTGATTAAATAGGACCCTGGAACAGATGTTGCACATGTAGCGTGCCCTGGGTAACCTGGTTGGCTACCCCCGCTGTTAATGAAGGAAGAGACCCATTTTCCCCAGTAACTGGACGACACACAGTTCCAGGGGTACAACAACATCTTTATTGGCCACATGCAGCTTTAAACTTTTCCCCATGTAAGGGGTGGAACACACATAAAGACAATGTCCCCTCCCTGGGTCCTGAGTTGTATAATGGAAACGGAACCCCAGTCCCTTTGTCCCCTGTTTCCGCCGCTCATCCTCAGGGTTTCCCACCGACGGTGACCAGGGGATCTTTATCCCATGAGCCTCTGTACCTGGGAGTCCCAGCGTGGGAAAGTTTCCTGCCTCTGTGACTCTCAGCCATAGAATGCCCGCCAAACCGCCATTGTCCCCAAAGAGTGTCCCCACCAATCTCAGGGACCCCCAGAACAGCAACTGTCATGAACTGCCTCCGTTCGCAGGGTCCCTGGGTGAAACCAGGCAAGGAAGGCGTATCCTTTTGGGACACGAATGCTCCCGCTGGGCAGCGCTCGTCTGTACGAACAGCGGCCACCCAGGGAAGCACTCATTAATTACTTCCCTTGCGGTTTCACACTTATGTTGCAAGTTGCTAACGTTCTAATTGATTGGTGTGAACACTCCATGGGCAATGGGGAATTCGATCTGCGAATGCTCCCCCTGGATGGCGTTCGTGCAACGAACAGGCCACCACCCAGGGTCGGCACGCGCCGAGGCTTCCCTTGCGGTTTTTGGTTTCGACACCTCGTTAAGAGGTGTACATATTCTAAAGCGCTCCTGATCCCTATGGATCAGCTTGGGGATGTCCAGGGAAGGGCTCACGGATCAGTTATCTAGGGCCGTCTGTCTGGACAACTCGTCAACATTGGCATTTGTTTACCGGGTCGGTAGTGAATAGTAAAGTCATACGGCTGTAGGGCCAGGCTCCACCGTGGCAGCCTGGCATTGTCCCCAGTGACCCAGTTAAGCCATACCAATGGGTTGTGATCCGTGAGCAGGGTGAATTTCTGTCCATACAAGTACGGTTGCAGCTTCTTGAGGGGTCAACACCACCGCCAGGCATTCTTTCTCAATTGCAGCGTAGCTTTCCTCCCTGGGCAACAGCTTACTGCTGAGGTAAGCCATGGGGTGTTCTCTGCCCCTAACCCAAACACGGAGGCATCTGTGTAAACAAGAAAACATTTAGGGATTAGGAGCAGCCTGGACAGATTTACCAAGGCGTCCTTAAGGGCTTGGAACGCCTGCTCACACTCTGGGGTCCAATGTATTTGCCTGGGCAAAGTCTTTTTGGTCAGGTCGGTCAGGGGTTTAGCTATGTCACTGTAGTTGGGGCCAAATTTCCTATAATAACCATCCATCCCTAGGAAAGCCATCACCTGGGTCTTAGTAAGCTAGCTACTGCTTCAACCTTGGCTTCTGTGTCCCACACCCCACCAAATGTCCCAGGTATTGTACTTCCGCCATCCCCAGGTTCCACTTGCTGGGCTTCAGGGTCAATCCTGCCTCTATAATCCTGTCCAGTACAGCTCCCACATGTACCAGATGTTCCTCCCAAGTATAGCTGTATATGGCGATGTTGTCCAGGTAGGCACAGGCATAGTCCTGGAGGCCATCTAACAGCTGTTACACCATCCTCTGGAAAGTGGCCAGAGCATTCTTCATCCCGAATGGCATTACTTTAAACTGGTACTGACCAAAGGGGGAGATGAAGGTGGATTTGGGGACAGCATCTACCGCTAGGGGAATCTGCCAGTACCCCTTACACAGGTCAATAGTGGTGAGGTATCGGCCCTGAGCCATCCTATCTAGCAGCTCATCCATACGGGGCATGGGGTACGCATCTGAGACTGTCTTTTCGTTGAGCCTTCTGTAGTCCACACAGAACCGAGTAGTCTCGTCTTTCTTTGGGACCAGGACTACTGGGGAGGCCCAAAGGCTTGTGGATGGATTGATGACCCCTATCTGGAGCATCTCCTGGATCTCCTGCAGCATACTTCCCCACACAGCCTCTGGGGTCTGCCGCAGAGGCTGTTTCTTAGGGGTCTCCACTCTATGGGTGGCCAGGAGGGTATACCCTGGTAGATTTGGACAACGTTTTCTTTGCAGACAGCATCTGCTGCGCCTGTCTGCATTCTCTCTCAGTTAGTCAGTCCCCGAAATGGACCTCCTCTATGGACCCCATCCTCCAGTAGGGCAGGCATGGGAAGATTATGGTAATCCTCCGAGGCTGACATCCTCTGTCCGCTTATGGTAGGGCTTAAGCATGTTCACATTAGACATTTGCAATTCGTTTAGTTCCAAATGTCAATTTGACCGAATTTCAGGCTATTCGGACATTCGGATGCTTCCGAATGTCCAAATAGCTGAATTGCCGAAGTGCCGAAACAAACCGAAGTGCCGAAGTCCCGAATTTTGGAAATGCCAAAAGGAACCGAATATTTTCCCCATACACATCCCTAGTTCACATGTAACAGGTGTCACCCGTCAATGGATGGGAATGAATACGTTGATAACTCCCTAATTCCCACGGTATTAGGGAGCTATGTACCAAAAGTCTGAAAGACCTAAATTTTCAGGCAAATTTACTAATACCAAGTAAAAATTACTTAGTATTAGTAAATTCTGCCCCTACTCGCCATACAGCGAGTAGGGGCATGCCTATTAAACAGTGAGCAGGCTCCCTGAACTTTCAGCTGTATTGCTCGGGAGTGACAGCATACCTGGCCAGTAGAATCCCTTGGATGAAGGAATAGTCCCGGATCTGGTTCTCTGGTAGAGCCCGGTAGGCTTCTGCCACCTTCCCCACTAACTTGCTGGCCAGGAGGGTGACCCAGTCGGTGGGGTCGACTGCCTGTAGAAGGCACTGGCACTCGAAGTCTTGTAGGAAGTCATCAATGCCTTCCTCCGCCTCCTTGAATTCTTTGAATGAGTTGTACGGTAGTTTGTTGGCCGAAGTTGCTGTGCTCCCTGGCGACCTCTCCTCTGCCCATCGGGGGTCGTATAACAGAACCGGAACCAGTGGCAGTGCACCGAGATAATATGGCAGGCCGATGAATTTCAATGTTGGCTAATGCAGGGCTGGCGCTGTCAAAGCGCTAACCTTGCAATGTGCCTTCAAGGACCGGAGGGGAGGGACTGAGGACTGAGGACCCGGGAGCTCAGCCTGCACTTCCTCTGTGTCCTTCTCTCGCATGCAGGGAGCACTGCAGCGGTTACCACGGCAACGTTTCGAATCTCGCGAGAATGAACTCTAGCCTCAGGAGCTGCTGGTAGAGTTCACTCTAGAGTTCACTCTCACCACTGGGACCACCAGGGATTCCCCACCAGACCAGCAGGGATCAAGAATAAATAAATAAATCGTTAAATAAAAATAAACATGTTATTAAAAAGCCTCCCTACCCACTCTGCCCCACACACATACACTACCCCCCGTACACACACCGCCCCACACACATACAGTGCCCTACACACACTGCCCCCCATACACACATACAGTGCCCCACACAGACTGCCCCCATACACACACTGCCCCACACACATACTGCCCCATACACACTCCACCCCCAAACGAACGTTCGTGCAAATAGCCAAAGTTAAAGTGGCGTTCGAATTGTCGAAAGCCGTTCAACTCGCATTGAAGTTCTGGAGAAGGTCAAGTTCAGTGGTGTTCGTGCCGTTGCATGTCCGATTTGAGTTCCATGAACTCAATGACGAAACACTGCTGAACGCGTTCGACTAAAAAAGATCGCCACCACCATACGAACGGCGGCCACTTGGACGACTTTGACACTTCTGCTGTATACGAAGTGCCGTTTTGACTAATTAGACAGTTTTAAGAGCCATTGTCCTTGTAACGGCTACCCGGGTAGAGTGAGGGTATCTGCCGTTGGAGACGTCCTTTTTCCCTGTAAGCTGCTGTGGAGAAGTAAGCTGGTATAATCCCATCCACGATATCCAGAGTAAGAGTCAGGTTCAGCTGTAACAGGAGCAGAATAACATTCCCAAATAATCCCCTTCCAAGAACGAGACAAGGCTACGTTTTGCAGGGTCAAGAAGATCTGAGGACTGGAATACCCAGCCTGCTTTTTATTGGGATCAGGTACACACAGGATACTCCCAGGGGGAGGATAAAAACACCCAATCATATACCTGGTAACACCCCCACGTCTCCTCCCCTCAGATAACATATAACATAATTAAAACGTACAACATTTTACCCCAGTTCTGGATGTTCCCCAAAAACAGGGGGTACAGCTTTAAATCCTGGGTCGCTTGATAGCTCTCATTCAGGGGACCAACATGTCCAAAAATCAGCCCATTCGGATGAATAGTTCGGGAGATACAGAGTTCCAAAGTTTTGACCGACCGCACAGACCAACTAGCCGAAAATAGTTCCATGAGTTTTGGCCTTGCGGTCGGTCTCCGTTCGCCTGGTAAAAAGGTATGAAATTCTTGCCATCCATTCGAATCTCGGGGTTCGCCGCAATCCCCATAGATGATTGAACATAACTACCGAACGTCCGGTGATTCGGTAGTTTCCGTGCGAACTTCTGGAAGTATGGAGGACTCAGCGGTGTTCGCCTGTTTGCGTATCCGATTTTAGTTCCACGCGTCGACAGGCAAACACCGCTGTTCGCACGTAAGATGGCCGCGGCTACGTGTAAAGTCCCGAAATGGCGGCCACCTATACTTTACACAGGGAATTCATGCGAATCCATTCGAATGGTTGAAATGCACTAAATGTGACGAATTCCTGCTGATTTTGGTTAGTTCACTGGCCCAGGCATGCAGCATAGTTCTGTTACAGTCCTCGATCCCAATAGGCAGAAATAGTTCCTTAGAACAAAATAAGTCACAGGGGTCACAGTCAAAAGGTAAAAGGCTAGCAAGTAGTCCTCTCCAAACCCCAGTGGTGAAGTGCAATTTGTCACAACTGCGTCATACAATAAGAAATGGTTGATCAGTGAATGAAAAAGCAACATTTAGTAAAGAGTAATGTGACAAACTGCCCTGAAACTCTGTTATTTTTCTAAGCCCCAGTTATTTTCCCTTGGATTCGGTAGTTCTATCTACTGAACGCAGACCACCCCCTGGCTCATTATCATCAAAGTAACCACAAAATTAGGTGCTCACTCTGGACAGCAGCTGTTTGTATAACTGAAAGGCATGTGCGCTGGAAAACGGCGGCCATCTTGTCTCCCGAACACAGGCAGTGCTACTTGGTCATCCAGTGTCTGTAACTCTAAGACGGATACTCTAACTCTCGAACCTCTGTGATTTTGTATCACCACCTGCTTCTGCTCCTGACAAGCCAGGAGAGCACTGTTCAGTGGAAAGGTACTGTTACGATTGCCTCCAGGCTGGCTGGAAGTTGGACCGCTTGGATATCCTTGTTCCCGAACTTGGAGAGAGGGAGAGCCGCTCAAATCAGCATACAGTAGTAATTCCTGGAAATGTAGAAAAGCCCACTAGCTATAGCAAAGCTAGGATACACCTTTCCCTACAACCCGAGTCAAGGCGGGGAGTTGAGGGTAAAACGAACAGATTTAATGGCACTCATGCATGGCAATTTAAACAAGTTATCAGGCCAGAGGACAACCCCTCTGGACCTGATGGTATTGTCCCAACCAATAAGGATAAAGTGCATCGTTTAAATACACTCCCCCCTTCCCTGGAAATAATTGGTCCCAACACTAACCTAATTATCCCCAGGCACATGAAAATACCACGTTTTATTCCCCACATAAAATAACATAAAAATACATAACTTTTATACTTTAATAATAAAATATCCCATTCGACCATTCTCTGGATAGCTCAGATCTGAACGCACAAAATATACGAATGGTGTGCAAGAGTCATGAAAGTAAAGTCTGTTTGTATGTTTTTTATACGAATGGATGGGATAACCGGCACCTCAGTGGGATTCGTATAAATCAGTAGCCGATTATAGTTCCAGGAGTTTTAACCCTAGTTCCCGCTGAGCATTCAATGACACAAAGATGGCCACTGCCTCGTGTGTGACATATGAACGGCGACCACCTTAGGTACTTAGAGTGCGGTTAACCGCAAAAACCCCAGCTTAATTGAGGACACACGCCAGTATCTAGGTGGTCGTCGATCGACAGTTTTTTCGTGCGGTGGTTCGGTACTTCGTTGGTTATTTGGATCCGAACGGTGACCACCCTGATGCCAGCACAAACCGCAGCTACCGGGAGGTTAATTGTCGGCACACTCCTGGGGTAATCTGGCCCGCTGGTCAATGGAGTTAACTAGCGGCACACGCCAAGGGCCAGGTGGTCGGTCATTCATACGTACAAATGACTGGTAGAATGGGTTTGCATAAAACAAACTATCAAATTGAAACAAAAGTATCTGTATGTACCCGACAAAGGGGATCTCTGTAACAGGTACGCACAAATGAGACGAACAATCGCTACCTATGAGCTAGGGGAACTGTTCGGTATTTTTTGTTCATTTTGGAACTTCCAAAAGTGACCAACTGCTACCACTTTTCTTCTGAAACTAATTTGGGCAGACGTGTGGTCGGTCAAAACTTTACCTCGGTGGCGATTCGGCTGTATTTGTGGTATCTGAGCACTATTTGGACACTTTGGGCACTAAGATCCAGGCTATCCGGTGATATAGGACTTGGCCGGGTTCCTATTAAAATCATGCATGTTTTGGGGTGTTTTGGGGCACCCTTTAGTGCTTTAGAGATAATTAGTTTAAGTAAAGTAAACTCACTTATCTCCCAGACACAGACGCCTGGCGTGTTTTACCTATACTTTTGCTGGAGACCTCATGCTGGCAGTCTGTGTATAAAAGAGGTCTATCTAACGATAATAAAACATTCCTGTTGTACCCTACACTAAGTCTCGCTGGTGTTTGAGTATGTGAATGACGAAGAGCTATATTTCACACAACCTTGCTGGATTTCAGGAGAGTACTAACAGACGTACAATACGAAAGAGCTATAAATCACACAACCTTACAGGAGTTCAGTTCAGAAGTACAGGGGGTTAGTTACAAGTAACAAGCTGCTAAATTAGGCCAGTTAGATTGCAGTCTAATTTATTAACAGACTGATCGCATTCACCATAATAAATGTGTTTTCTTTAAACCTTTTCCCTGACTTCCACCTTAAAGGTCACTGGCTCAAGCTGGTGGACCACATTACCCAGAATGCCATGGAGCTGGAAATCTGCTGGTAATGTGATTAGATGGCAGATGTTCCTGTGGGATTAAGAGATTAGATAGTGCCCAGAACTGAGTGATGACAGCCAAAAAACAAGGTAACGGAAACCGATCTCCATGCCCCTCTTTGGAATGCCCCTGCAGCTCTCTAAAGGACCCCATGAAATCCTTAGATTAGTGGCCCCCTAGCAGGGCATTAGGGCTAAGTCCACAGGGGAGGGGAAGGCGAGTGGTAGTTGTTATGGTTGTTATTAAGGCGTAAAAGACACATCCAGTATGCGGAGGACATCAGTGTGTTTAAAGGCTGATGCTGTAGTAATGGGAGTTAGCTGATGTTTTAAGGCACTCATATTAATGTTGAGATTGGCATTTTGGGGTGCACT